CCCTATATAAACCCAAAAGGTTAACCTTTAGATACCCGATAAGTCAGATGCCCTGTCCCGCCATGTCGTGAGTTTCAAGGTCGGAGGACACGAGCACCCTTGGAGCTGCAAGGCTCTATGCTACATGCCCCACAAACACGAATCCCTGAAATATTTCTCCCGCTCTGTAGTCTCATGTGAGCGCCGACACCCTATAATTAAACAACACCCAGAATATAGGGGCCTTTATAATTACCTGTGCTAATTTTCGGTTTTTTGGTTTTAACCATAGTATACTATGCCCCCAAAACCCTATTCTAATGATGAAGGCCCCTACCTTAGGAGCCCAGTAGGTAAACTTTAAACTTTTTTGGTATATTAAACCCCTACCAAAAGAAAAGTTTAAACTTTTTTGGCCAGGGTACTGGGAAGCTAAGCTACATTACACATCTCAAGCTGTGTAAGTCATCCCGGGCCCTGAAGAGCGTCAGCCCAAGGCTTCGAGGCTTTCCAAGGCTCATAATGCCGCTGCCTACTTGGAGGTTCATGGGTAGTTATAAGTGGGGTTATAAATCCCCTAATATAGGTTGTAGTGATAGTTACCCTACTTTTAGCCCTACGTACTTATAACTACCCATGAGGATGGCCAACAAGCTAACGATTGAAGCGAAACGGCCTGACCGAATTGATGCTGGATGCGCTGAATTCACCGCAATTGGGAGGTGAGATGGAAGCAAGATCAAGACTGGACAGCCTTTGGATCCCTTGAAGAGCCTGGGGTCAGTAGATTTCGCAGCCTCAGGTGAAACAGTTGTTAGCCGGAACATTCTGCTGCTTGGGACTGAGAAATACACGGATCCCGGGAGGGGTCAAAGTCGGACAAAGGAGTCATGTGAGAAAGCCGAGTGTGAGTGTGACGCCTAGTGAAGCGAGCCTTGTGAGCGGGCCCATGGTGTGTAGGTGAGCGGTCTAGTGAATTTTCGAGTTTGTGCGGTAAAACCTTGATGGTTTGGGCACTGGTCTTCTTGACCTGGGACACTTTTGGCCTTGATGGCCATCTGAAGCTTCGAAATGAAGTCGTCATGAGATGCCTTCCCCCAAGCCCCTGTGCAGCAAACTGGGTTTGGAGTGGGGGCGTGTAGTCGTTTTGCTCTGATAGACCCTGCATCGTAGGTTCGTCCTAGCCAGGCGGGAGGGAAAATAACTACCCATGAACCTCCAAGTACCTTAAGCCTAGAAGCCCGAGTGTTTTACAAATTCAAGGGAATATCATTCTTGTGCGGAAGTCAACCTAAGCAAACCGAAGAAGATTTTTTTGGCTACCTAAACCTAAACCCTATGCGCGCCCCCTGCGAACCATGCCTGCGCGAGTTGCGAGAGTCTAAACCTCTCTATCACGTGTAGACGGTATGACTGTCCCAGGAAGGCGCCAGAAGCGGAGCCTGAGGCCGTGGCGCCAGTCCTCGCGAAGGTCGGTTCTCCCGGTATCCACATGACTTGGAACTTTGGAGTCTAAAGATTTCGGATTTCAAAAAATAAAGATTTCGGGTTTCGGGGTCTACGGTTTATATAAGGGTTTAAGTGAGAAAGAAGGAGCGGGGAGCGGAAGCAAACAGCAACCTTATCGTTGCGGGTGCGGCTGCCTATTAAAGGACGAGCAAGAGAAGCAGAACAGAGAGAGCCACCGAGGAGCGAGAGAGAGCGCGAGTCCTCCCCCGAAAAATTTTCGGCGCACCGGTCTTCATTCTCTTCTTGTCCAAAGAATCAAAGAAAGCAAACAAGAGCAAGAGTCGCCTAGCCGCGACAAGCAGCCCAAGCGTTGCAAGCGCAAACCCCCTGCCCCCAAAAAAGCATCACATCCCTAAACCCGAACTACGAAAAACTACGAGGCCGAGGATTTGAGAGGCCCTGATCTTCTAGAGGGACGCAGTGCCGGCAGAAACCCTTGCTTGGAGGTTCATGGGTAGTTATAAGTAGGATTATAAGTAGGGTAACTATAATTATAACCCATATTAGGGGACTTATAACCCCACTTATAACTACCCATGAACCTTGAAGTGGAGTGCATCAGGCTTCGCCGGACGTTACACGTCGCTGGAGGTGCCTGTGTAAACATCAGGTGACATTGCTACTTCTCCGTTTAGATCCAAGGGTTGTCCGTTGGTAACACTTCTGGGAAGCATGAGTTTTCAGATATACTCTTTGATGGTGAGCTTGGGATGGGCCCTCGGATAGGCTTTAGAATGCTGGGATTTTGAGTGCAACACTCTTGCTTTCACAGATTGGCTTGGTCTTGCCTGCCTGGTGCGAGTCTAAGAGTCGAAACCCCACCGTTCAACGGCACATGCACATGGGTCACTTTTCCCCTGAAGGTCTGCAGCTAAAGATGCCTCGCAGAATCCATGCCTCAGTGCCCCGGCACCAATGATGGCTCGCGCCCCTTTACTTAAAATGTCATGTGTGTAACTAGGGCCTAGGGCTACAGTGGCTACAAGTTATACTTGCTTATGGCCCCAAATTGGGTACTTATACCTTGCTTCCCACGCCCCCCGGATCCTCCAAGAAGAACTAAGGAAAAACGCAAATCCCCTATTTGGGGGGTAGTGATCTGGATCTTCGAATCCCGTTTCTTCGTGCGCTGTTGCCCAAACATTCCCCCAGACATACCCGCCCATGCCAGGGCTACATGGATCTGAATAATAGTACCAGTCACAGCAATGATTCCCTTTAATCCCTTATAGCCCGTATCCATATATATATATATATATATATATAAAGATGTGGAGATATAGAGTAGCATACTCTTCAAAACCTTATTCTGGCCAGCAAGGCTTTCTGATAGTAGGATTGTGGCCCGGTGTGCCGTGAGCTGGCGTCCACTTCCTGTGGCAGTGTGGTCAGTCCTTTCTCGCAGGTTTAGATCTTCATGGTCCCTGAGACACTTGGAGGTTCATGGGTAGTTATAAGTGGGGTTATAAGTCCCTTAATAGGGGTTATAATCATCATTACCCTACTTATAACCCTACTTATAACTACCCATGAACCTCCAAGCAGGGGTCGCATGTGCATGGTTTTCGAGGATTACAGAAATAAGAGGTTAGAGGGTTTGCTACCTCAGAGGCGTCAGAACACAGATGATGGCTTGTGTCGATAATTAACTCCCTACAACTCATAAAGCAGAGATCCAACCCACAAGCCTGGCCAAGTCCACAGCCCCCAGAGCCTTCCACCAGCGTCCATCAACCTCCCAAACTTCGGGGCCGCAGATTTGCATCAGAGGTCAAGGCTATCCCTTGCATCGAGTCGCAATGGATACGTCGCCTCTCCTGCATGGCGCGTTGCTGGGCTGTGATTTACTTGGAGGTTCATGGGTAGTTATGAGTGGGGTTATAAGTCCCCTAATAGGGTAATCATTATAGTTACCCTACGTATAGCCCTACTTATAACTACCCGTGAACCTCCAAGTAGGCAAGTAGCATACCTTTTTCTTCTAGGCCGCAACCCAGAGCTCCTCCTGCGAAGGGCAACTTCGCGACTGGGGATCGTCCAAGAGTAAAGGGTTTTGTGTACGAGGCCTGCTGTAAAAAGGGTTTAGGGTTTAGGGTCTAATTCTTTGCATTGTGGAAGTCAGTGTTCAGGCGATTGCACAAGTCCTGATGCAAAAAAGGGTAAACCGCAGTGGCCGCTGGTCTCCTGCCCGTGTGTCTTTCAACTAGGTTGGGGTTCATGGAGGCGGGGGACTTTGCAGCAGAGTTTTCGGGGGCCTAGTCCTCTGTGCATGGGTTTAGGGTTTAGGGTTTAGGGTTTAGGGTTCTAGGTTCAACTGCCCATCAAAATGAGCGTCCACACTCGGGAGGGTTGGACACCTCAGCTAAACAGCAGCTTTCAACCATCTGGTCGGGCCTGCTTTGCCGGTGTTTTCAGCAAGTCGCGAGTCGGCAACCATGCGGAATGGAGATCGCCTGCTTTGCATGTGTTCGGGGTTGCAGATTCCTGCCCGCCGTAGGACTGTAGGTCTGTGCAGCATGTCGGAACAAGACCCCATCCCGCTTTCGACATTGCGGGCCCTGTGGCGCCCCGAAGGCAAAGTTCTCTGATGTGATAGCAACTGTGGCTAAAGGCACAAGAGCTGGAGACTTCGTGAAGGAGCCGCTCTTCAACGTTTCTGCCGAGGCGCAGTGCGCCAGAACGTGGGCGATCTGCGTGGAGAGATGAGGCAACGCAAGACTCGAGCA